CCCCTTTGTTAAATCTTGTATACCCAAAGCCTCGGGAAATTTACTCAAACGCATACTTAGGAATAAGAAGCTATCAATTATTCTCAACTTATGTGTTTTAATTTCCAGATACATAATCTTATTACCATTCATAATCACTTTGGGTATAATTTTACGCTTTACCAACAACTCTCTTAACAAAAAAAACAGTATCAAAACGACCCCCATTATGTGCTATCCACGTGCTATCTTCATATTGTTCAAACATAAAATCTACTAAATCCTGAACTATATCTCCGTTGTTTTTTTCAAACACATACTGTCTATAACCACAACAAGGTACACATTTCACAGACGTATCACAATGAATTTTATCTGTATGTGGGGTAAACCCTTCCTTATTTTTTATAAACCCAATCTCATCACATTTTGAACAAACTTTCTGAATAACACAATAAAAAGGAACCATATAACCATTTTCATCCACACGAGTTTCAAAATCAAAAAATATAATGTGGGTAATTTTGGATTTTTAGGTATTTTACATATTTTCATAAAACATTCATGCTCTTTTGTTTTTATTTTACAACAATGTAAACAAAAAAATTTATCACATTGATGTTTTGTTGCTTTTTTACTTGTAATTTTAGTCATTCTCAGAACGGTTTTATAACATGTGGGGCAAAAAAAAAAAATACATACACGGTGAAACATATGAACCCCAAGAATTCTTAAAAATACGTTTTGTCAAATGTCTTGGAAAACAATCACGATTCCAAAATAACACATTACATTCCGAACAAACAATCTCAAAATTATCTTCCTTTTTACATACACTGTTTGAACTGTAACACCTTTGACAACTATGCACAGTTCTACAAACATGCGAAGATTTTGTTTCAGCACGTAAAAAGTAATGCATACACTCAAAACAATACCGTGAACTATTACACCGCGAAAAAGTATACGGTGAAAGAATCAAATCATAATGACCGTCGTTTAACCACAAAAAAACTATCTTATTAGTTAATCGACATAAATACTCGTGTTCATCTAACCGAGAGTCATAAACAATACTGTCATCCAAGGATTTAGAAAAAAACACCAAATCAATAGCATCCACAGCTAAATATTTTTCATAAAATAAATGTAACTGATCAACACGCACAGACCCTACAGGTAACCCCGCTGCTATGTAAACATCATTTATTTCGTCTGTTGTATACAGTTTCGTCAAGTCAGCGTTTCTATTCTTATCCAATATGTCAAAATATTTATCCTTTTGTAAAAAAGATTTCCCCACGAGTAACGCCAATGCAAAACAATGTTTTGTTGTGCCAGATACCACCTGAAATACCCCATTTCTCACTTCACGCCCATGCTTTTGTGCAATAATTCGACCGCTTCCAGACTCTTTTGGATTTTGCCCCAAATGTTTATACAGACGCTGATTAGTTTTCTTTCGTTTCACATTTGTTGGCACATAATCATTAGGAAAAATATAAACACTCACAACACTAGACCACCCATTATTTATAATTTCCTGCGCGTTACTTTGCATATGTCGTTCAAAAATATTCAAAAACATTTGAGTTGTAAAATCTTCGACATTTAAAATAGCTGTAGAAAACGGTGTTCTCGGAGCTCGAGAGATGTAGAAACGAGCCTTATCCTTATTCGAATTTGCATTATAACGCATCAAATTAATAAGATACTGAAACACACGGCGTAAATTGTCTAAAAAACCGGGTAATGTAGTCATATTATTTGCACCTATGTTAATCTCATAAATATATTCATTGTTATTAAAACGTCTATTCACGCGAACACTATCTAAATTAAACACTGTAGGTGGTACTTCAATATCATCATTAGCTCGAACCATACGTACTATTTCGCGAAGTTGTTCATCGCTTAAATCATATTGTTCTTCTTCGTTGGCGTCGTCATTTTCATCTTTGCGTTTCCGCTTTTGCGACGTCGCCATGAAAAACAACAACAATTTAATCTTGGTTCTGGTTTTTCACTACCATCATCTCCCGAGTCTGTAAAATCAAGGTCTGTATTAGGACTTCTATTTACATTCACAAAATTACAATTTAAAGTCACCAACGGTGTGTCATTACTACCCCCCAAACATAATTTTTGCCCCATTTCACACACACAACTCTTTCACAGCAAGATCACAAAAAAATGGCTGAAGAACTAGTTCACATTGAAATATATATAAAAGATGACACAAATAAAACAGGAAAAAAAATAGCATACGAATGTGTGGATAACGATAAAAACATTTTATTTTCACCTTATATATTCCCGGATTGTATCGGCGAATGGGCAGCTGATAGTGATGTTATAACAGAATGTTCCGTCAATACATTACGTCACAGACTAAACGTATTTCAAACAGCTGTTGCTGTACCTCCAGATGTTACTTCTAAAATAGAAAACATTATTAAATTTATAAAAAAACCCAAAGATATCTACGTCGGTATTCGCGCTATTTATTAAAACAAAAAAAATGTCAAATTCACAGCGACTTATTGCTTTCCTTAATAAATATACTAACAGAGCCAGACAAGCTAGACCGACGCAAAGTATACGAAACAAAGTATACGAAAATCACAAAGATGCATAAGCAATACTATGTTACAACAACGATGTCGCAAACGTACAGCGCATACTAAAAAATGTTGGATTCATTTGGCAAAACAAGATAATCTAAGAATCAAACCCTCTAATGTTCTTGGTGGTGGCAAGGGTTTATTTGCTTGGAAAAAACCTATAGTGCGCGGAAAAATTATATCTAAATACACAGGAAGAAAAAAAACAAAAGCCGAAATTGACAACAAGTACGGCAATGGTCGTGCCAATTACACCGTATGCAATAGTAAGGGAAAATGTATAGATGCAAATCACACAACCGACGCAGCGGCACGATTTGCCAATGACGCTCGTGGCACAGTCTTCCACAATAATTCTAAAATAAAAGGTCGTCAAATGCTACGCTTGAAAGCCACACAAATAATACCCCCCCACCGGGAAATATTTACATCGTATAAACGCGAATATTGGAATGAATAAAAACATATGTACGCTAAATCCTGAATCAATTTAACTCTATCTTCCTTTTCAGTATGGGTCGTCGGAAACAATATGG